AAATTGAACGCGCGAAGCTACGAATTGCCTGGCATATCCCCATCATTTATTACTTAAACATTTCACTTAAACTCGAGATGATGTAGTTCTCAGCCTCTGTCGCGGACATTTATTATATACCGTAACGCGAGAGGATTTCGCATAGTTACGCGCAAGTGACAAATAATGGCGCGTAGTTTGTGGAAGCTCATTCTCGCTTTAACAGACAACTGGGAGTCAGCGTGGGCGGAGCAGCTGGCTAAAAGGCAGATGCGGCTAATGGAAAGTAATTCTCTTGGCGCGGACCGCAATATCACAGTATCAACGGGAACGCACAGTATACATCGCTACATCGAAGTTGGATTAATTGCCGATCGAAGATTCCTTGATTTCCACAATAACACTGATTACGAGCAATATCTCTTGACCGTTATGAACATGGTCTCCGACTTTTACCACGACAGATCCGTGGGGAATCAAATAGACGTCGTCTTAGTACGTGTGATATATTTGGAGAAAGAAAAAGAAGAGGTACGCGGCGCGCGGTGTGATCGTAAGATGAAATATATTCAATCGGGAGAGAACAAAAGCAGTTACCAACCACGAACCATTGTTATCTTATTTATTTGAGATGAACAAATTATTTAAACTTATCTAAACAAATTACTTAAACTGATATGTATATTATGGATTTTTAAATAATTTTAGATATTTAAACATGTATAGGTATTGCAGATATTAAATAGTACAATTTTCTCAAAGCATTAGCCTCTGCTAAAGGATCAAAGACAATATTTACGTACAGGGTTAATATTTCATTTATCGAATCTCGATATGCTCGTAGATAGATTTACTCATCAGTCCAGCTGCCGAGAATACGTTGGAGAGTTTCGCCAAGTGGGCAGAGAAGATGAATCCAAAGGATGACACACATCCCAATCATTACGATATCGCGGTATTGGTTACCAGGTAATACCAGGTAATTTTCCTGGGCATCGACCTAATCGTCGTACACGTTGTATTGTTAGTCGCATGTGCCCTCAGGTATGACATTTGCTCGGAGGAAACCAATTGCGACCTAATGGGTCTGGCTCATGTCGCTGCGGCCTGCGACTCGACGAAGGCTGCTTGCATTAATGAAGACAGTGGACTTCTGCTTGGTATCGTGATTGCCCACGAAGTTGGTCACGTGTACTGTCCATGCATCTCAATCACAATTATAATACGTTTGACGTGCAGTCTTTAAGGAACAATAACGAATTTTATATTGTCAGAAAGCAGAAATAATATTTTAAAACTAAGCTTTTTTTACACGTTCTCTTATATCAGCAATTTTTTTAATAACCACTTTATGCAATTATTATAGTTGCAATAGTACAGTTGGAGATGCAAAGTTTCATGTTTTAAGAAGAAATCCTTTAAACCCTTTAACGGGCTATTCTGATTTATTTCGAAAATGCTATTTTATAGAATGGGTTGTTCTCATGATGAGCCCGAGACCAGCGGATGTCCGTCGAAGGATATGGATGATAGCTACTTTATTATGTCTCCTATCGTCTTTTTATATACCATCCGATGGTCGAGCTGCAGCAGGAAATTTATAACAGCTTTTCTTGAGTAAACTGAGTTGCATAAGTAATGACGGTGGATAAATAATGGCCTTTTTTAATTGTATATGATGCAATGATGAACGACTTTAAGTAAATTTATAACACGCTTAACACATTCTGCGAAAATATTATTTCAATATTTGTAATTACATTTATTCGATCAATATTATTTCTCTCTTTTGAATATTTCCATATTTATTATAAATTATGTATGCATTAATTATTTGACAAATTATTACCAAACTCCAGCACAATTATAAATAATACTATAATTTATTTAATAAATTTACAGTGACATAATATAGTTTATTTTTTACGTAAGAATTCCGTTCATTGATAATATTATTGAAAATATCTTCTCGTAAGAAACGGCCATTTTTTCTATTTAATATTGAAATATTTAATTTTTTTTAGCTCAACTTATTTTCTAATAAAACTTCTTTGTAAATAAGGAGCGGGCTGGGCGAATGTTTAAATGATAATCCAAGAACTCCCCCAGAGAAACTAAAATATCCTAACATGTTGCCGGGTGCAATGTACGACGCTGCCTTTCAATGTGACATGCAGTTCCCAGGCTCGAAAGTGTGCCCACAACCTCAAGTAAAGTTTTGATAAACTTCGCGTGTGACCTTAATTGCATTTTAATGTTTTCGATTCAATTATCGTGAATCGCAAATTGCTGAAAATTTAGTGAAATCCAATGTTGTTCTCGTTAATTGTCGATAATTCTACTATTATGTATCAATTATCTACATTTCATTTGCATTTCATCTATCACTTGCTCGTCATCGGAAATGAAATAACTTTTACGTATCATTCGTTATATTTACTCGGACAAAATATATTCCATTACCCTGATCGCTTTAACGGAATATTCATTCTCTAAATAAATTTTGCGGCGAAATAACATTCGCCACGTAACATTTGTTTCTGTCGGTTTTAGACCAAATTTTAGAGTCGTAGTGTTTATAAAACCCATTCTACAATTGCGTACAATTCTACAAAAGCGTAGTTGTAAGTGGTTGTAGTTGTAGGACAATGTTATTAAACAATTACGAGATACGAATTTGGACTGATAAGAATAAGTCTAACTGTGAATAAGAGAGAGAAATTCTATATTCGGTCAAAGGGCGGATCTCAGTGTGATTAGCTTCTCATCATTTCTTATAATGACAACCACTTACTACAACGCTGTTATAGAATGCGCAATTATAGAATGGGCTTGAACGATAGTTGTTACGTGTCGTAAGAAATCGTAGGGCGTTTTCTCGCCCTATTCTTTTAGACTAATTGATTAGCCTGGGATCTCTTTGCGACCGAGTGTATATTTCAGGCGAGCGGCTGCGAGAATCTGTGGTGCTTGACCAACACAAGTTGCTACTCCCTGGGGTCGCCGAAGGCTGATGGTACGAAGTGCGGTGAGAACAAGGTGCGCGCAGCTTAGGTAGAACCTGTTCCAGTAAAATATATTCCCGGCGCGGATTATTTAGCAACCGCTTAGCGTCGTTGTTTATGCATCCGCAGATATTACCGACGTAAATAATATGTCGCTGCGAGGTGGCATCAATTATCAAACGATCGCGAGCGCAAACGGCTTTCGACGCGATCGAAAGCCATTTACGAGGCGCGCGATTCGCGTCCCGGAACGCCGCCGGAAACGTAGCGGAATAAAAGGGCGTTTCCCCATCTCCCTTCCTCTCTTTGCGAGCTGAGAGATTTATTAAACGACGCGCCTTCTCCTCGCCGCCACGTCGCTTCTCGCGGATGTAGATTTCGTCGCCTTCGGCTCACTCGCGAGCGGCGGACGTAGATTTAATCGCGCCGGGGAAATAAATTGAAGTGTCAGGAAACTTCGCGCTGGAAATTGGTATTCGCGTGAAGCACGAGGCGGAGAGAGTAGCCCGCGAGACATATTGCATTCTTCTAACCCGCGGGACAAAGATAATACAAAGAGCATTTGCACACGAATGTAGTGGTGCATCCACAAGAAGTGCGTGGACGTGGGCACTCGGCCGGCCGCGGTGCACGGCGGATGGGGCGAATGGGGTCCCATGGGTCCCTGCAGCAGGACCTGCGGCGGTGGTCTTAAGTACTCCGAGAGGGAATGCGACCGACCGGTACCGGAAAACCGCGGCAGATACTGCGTCGGCGAGAGAAGAAGGCTTTTCACCTGTAACACCGTGGTAAATTGCGTCTATCTACCTTCCACCATCGTTTCTC